TCCCTCTCCCACTCCCCCTGCTTGTGTTCCCTCTCTCGCTGTGTCTCTCTCTGTCAAATAAATAAATAAAATCTTAAAAAAAAAAAAAAGAAAGCTCATAGATCTATATGTGTTGATATCAAAGGATGCCCAAGATATATTGTTACATGAAAAATACAAGTTGTTGATATTATTTAGGTGTGTGGGGGGGAAAGAAGTTTTGTAGTTGAGTGTGAACAGAAACAAGATTTCAGTGGTTATCACTGGGGGGTGGAATGTAAATCTGGGAGAAGAATTACTTTTCATTTCCTTCTATGCTGTTTGAACATTTTAAAGACATACGCATTCCATTTGTTGTGATTTTAAAAAACTAAAAATAAATATTTACAATTAAAAAATTGCACGACTCAAACTTTACCATGTACCAACATCTAGTTAAACAGACCCAATGTCTTTTCGGGAGAAAATAATTAGAGGTGCACTTGTGTAGCTTCAGCCCAAGGTAAGGCTATTCAGGACACGAGATAGAGCAGAAGAGAAGGGGAGGCCGCGCCTCGCGGTTGGAGGATTCGCAGATCACGGTTCCAAAGAGTTAGGGTTTGAGGCTCTCCGTGGGGAGCAGCCCGCTCACCGCATCGGTGTAGGTGTCCTCGGCTGGCTTCCACTCGCCCCCGGGGTAGCGACTCTCGTTCTGGTACACTTCATCCGTGAACTCCGTGTGACCCGCGTCGGCCTCAGTCAGCAAGCTGCAGGCCAGCTCGTGTTACCAAAGGAGCAATGAATGGTAGCCAACCACCCCAGCTCTGCCCCGTGGTCGGGAAACATCTACACTGGTTCCCTCCTGACGCTAGCCCTTGGGTTCACCACCAAACGCTTCCTGCTGATAACTTCTGCCACTCTTGTGAAGAAGGGGCCTGGGGGATCAATGAGACCTAAACCACAGAGGACTCCTCAAGTCGGCAGGGCTGCTCCTTCTCAGTAATCAGGGTGGGGACTGGGAAAACAGTCTTGTGGGCAGCTCCTTACACAGACCTCATGCTCCATATTTTTGTTTCAGTTCAGGGCCGTTCAGCTTTTTTGCAGCAAAACGCCTGGCTAACAGTTCAAAAGAATAGGAAGTTGTCCACCCTCATTCCCCCTATTTTAAAAAATGGAGTGGAGAAGGTCTCATGAGGCCAAGTGTGGAAATTTTTACTCATGCCCTGCATGGTCTACGTAACACAAACTGAAGGGAGGGGTTTAAATTTTCTGGATAGTTCCTAGGTCGACAGCCAAACCAGGTCATTTAAGACTCCAGACTCCATTTAGGTAATTAAGAAACCCATACTGACTCTCTGCCATGCCAATTTTCCTCTTGGATTTGGAACTATTTTGACAACCCATAAGGAAAGTACAGAGGCTCCAACTTTGACTGAAGTCTTCTGCCAGGTACCCACTCAAGTGAGGTTTCTTTTTCTTTTACCGTTCCGACATCTTTTCCCTGCCAAATCCTCCCTAAGAATCAAGCCCTGGAAAGAAATCAGAATAGAAGTGGCCCCAACTATTTGTATAAATTAAGCCCATCTCATCATTTTCCGGGCCCCAGAGAAGGAGAACAGAAGACCTGGCTGCCGTCTCTGGGGTCCCATCGAGCCCTGACATGCTTTGATCCTCCACTTTTCCAAACACAATGCCTCCACCTTTCCCTCTCCTCACTAACCTTCCTTCCTTCTCTCCAATTCAAATCCCATTTCCCTTCTCCTCACCAGCAACCCCAACTCTATCCAAAGCAAGCTGTCATGGGTTAAAAGCAATCATGTGCAATCATCGGGTCTTAACAGACCAGACCAGACCCAGTGTGCTCATTTCCCTCCTTCCCTAATGCCTGTGATCACAGGAAACTAATGTGGACAGAGAGGAAAAACTCTAGTTTGAGGCCTTGAAATCCAACTTCACAAGCTTGTTTCCTCCAACCTCAAGTATCCGGTCATGAGGTGGAGTAGAGGGAGCTCGGATTCTGATGCCGTCGGCAACATTCAGAGACCCAAACTCCAGGGGACACAAGCTTGCCTCCCCTCTACTGTTCCTTTCTTTTTCATAACAAGCTTCTGAGACACAATTCACATATCATACAAGTCACCCATTTAAAGTGTACCCTCTGCTGGGGCGCCTGGGTGGCTCAGTTGGTTAAGCAACTGCCTTCGGCTCAGGTCATGATCCTGGAGTCCCGGGATCGAGTCCCGCATCGGGCTCCCT